AAATCTGGTTAATTTTGATCCAGATTAAATGTTTTGAACTGAACAAAGAACAAAAAAACGGACTAAATTTGCTGCAGCCTTTCTAAAAGAATTCAGTGATATTTGCAGCATTTTTTGTTTTTGTAGTTTTGCAATAACGGTAATCATTATGTAGTCATACTATTAGTGACAGTAAAAGTACAGTTACTGTAAACTTATTTAGCATAATTACATGAAATCAGTTATGGTCGGGCAGTTGAACAGCATCCTCAGGTTAATGTTTTTGTGGAAAAATAACACAAATAATGCCCAAATCTATTAAATTTGCATCAATTCTTGCAATTGAAAGATCACACAATCCTCTGAAGGGACTGATTTAAGAGTAGCAGATAATAACAACAAAATAAACATGCGATGTGGAAAAACTCTGCTGTAATTAACACAAAATAATACTGTTAATGATGCTGAAAATGATGCCTCGGGCTGTCCTTCTGTGCGTTACATCTAAGAGACAAAAGGCATGAAACTTATAAATCAAAAGATGAACAAAAAAAACCTTTGGGATTTGGACAAAGCAATCTGTTAACCACGTGTGTGTTCTGTTTCACAGGAGAAGTGTCATCAGTACTGGCCTGCAGAAAGATCTGCGCGATACCAGTACTTCGTCGTGGACCCCATGGCTGAATACAACATGCCACAGTACATCCTACGAGAGTTTAAAGTCACAGACGCCAGGGTAAGATCAGCAGACGTGACCGCATGACTCTTTAAAATACACTCTTACAACACACACTCTCTCTCTCTCTCTCTCTTAGGATGGTCAGTCAAGGACGATCCGCCAGTTTCAGTTCACCGATTGGCCAGAACAAGGCGTGCCAAAGACAGGAGAGGGCTTTATCGATTTCATTGGCCAAGTCCACAAAACCAAGGAGCAGTTTGGACAGGATGGACCGATTACTGTTCACTGCAGGTGTGTGTGTGTGTGTTTGTAATGCTGCATGATAAATTAAATATTCACATATATTGTGATTTTGTAAATCTCTGTCAAAACTTTATTGGATGTATCAGAGCTCATTTTGAATCTGTACATGGGTCAATAAGATTTTTTTTTATTTTTGAAAGAAAGAAATACTTTAATGCTGAAAAAGTATTTAAAATGTTACAGATGATTTCTATTTCCACAAAAATATATTTTCTGATTTTTTTGACCAGCAAATCATCACCAAGGATCATGTGACACTGTAGACTGGAGTAATGATGCTGAAAAATCAGCTTTGATCACAGGAATAAATTACATTTTAAAATATATTCAAATAGAAAACAGTGATTTTAAATTGGAATAATACAGTATTTTTACAATATTACTGTTTTACTGAATCTTTTGATGAAATAAATGCAATATGGATGAGCAGAAGAGACTTAAAAAATCTTGTTTTTTCGTTTGAACAGTAGATGTTGTGTTTGTGTGCTGAACGGCTGTCTCTCTCTCTCTCTCTCTCTCTCTCTCTCTCTGTCTCAGTGCTGGTGTCGGCAGAACAGGAGTCTTCATCACTTTAAGTATTGTCCTGGAGCGGATGAGGTATGAAGGGGTGGTGGACATGTTCCAGACCATAAAAACCCTCCGCACGCAGAGACCTGCCATGGTACAGACAGAGGTAAGCTCACACTCTCTGGTGTAAAGGAATGGTTCAACTGAAAATGTAAAACTTCTCATGTTGCTGCAAATCAGTAAGGAATGAGGCTGAGAACATGATCCACTTTTAGGTGAAGCAGTAGTTCAAGCTCCTCAGGGCGGTTTAGTCTGTTCTGCTGTGTTTTAAAGAGGACCTGTCATGCCCATTTTCAAAGTCTTGAATCGTAAAGTTGGTTCTCATGCCTTAATACTCATTAAACGCATTATTAACGTGGATATGACGTCATTGACTGGCAACTCCTCACCCCTGCTCACACGCCCCGTTTCCTTGGTTGAAATCGCAATTTACTCAACATTTGGGATATTATAAGTCATCAACTAAACAAAATATATAACATTGGCCCAGTGGTTTTGGGATATTTTACTGCAAAAATCCTACATATTGTACCTTTAACTCCCGCTGGAGGGACTTTGTAACTGTGCAGAGCTTTTAGATAAAAAAGCTTAATGTGTTCTCCTCAACTGTGTGTGTGCAGGACCAGTACCAGCTGTGCTACAGAGCAGCTCTGGAATACCTGGGCAGCTTCGATCACTATGCAACGTAACCACTCCCAGAATGCCTCAGAACGCCACATCTGGAGAGCCGCCGCTTCCTTCTGAGCCATAATCACCCTACCTATTCAGTCACCACAGCTGGAGGGAGAAAGAGAGACTGAGAGAAGAGGAATATCAGAAGAGAGGACGTCTTTCACTGGACAATCCTGTTCCTCTCTCTGAAAACAGCAACAAAAGCTTGGGTCTGGTCTCTAATGCACAGCTCCTGTCTCGGTATTACCTTACTGCTTGATTTTTATCATCATCGTCGGCCATTGTTTTTATTATTATTATCATTATCATTGTATCATCAGTACGATCTGTCAGAAAATACAATATTTGTATCATTTATGCTGATCATTGCGTATCTAAGGGGTTCTTTTTTATTCTATTTACTATTTGTTTCTTATATTATTATTATTATTATTATTCATTTGTGATTTTTTTTTCGTATGCGTTCAATTATTTTTAGCACATGTGGACATGTATTTTCACATGACCCAGGTTACTAATACTGTAAGAGGAGCGTTCAGAGCTGCTGATGATTTATACTTTTTATCATTATCATATTTTAAATGACTTTTATTTGGTGGGAAAAGGGGAACTTTTATAAATAAATAAAAAAAAACAACCTTTTCACCTCCTGATACTTTATAAAACCGTATAATCAAATATAAAAGAGATGAAAGGGTTTACACCTGAGTTAGTGACCTGCTTGATGAACCCGCTGTCGTTAAGGACACGGACCGAACTAACCAAACGAGAGAACACGCTCAGGCTCGTTCTGCTCGGTGTGCAGTCGTTTTCTGGAAACCCTTCCATTCTAAAGGCCGATTGAGTGAAAGAAAGACAAGAAAATGGTGTTCACTGCAAAGTCCTTGTTCCATGCCGGGTCAGCTGAGGTCAAAGGTCAGCCTGCCCACACATGTACAGCCGCCACGTGTCGTTCCTCCAGTTGAACCTCTGCCATCTAGCATCTGAAGCGTGAGAAAACAGACGACTCGCCTCACCGGCTGAGGCTGGGGATCCGAAACCTCCCGAACTCTCCACGTGTGGTATTAACAGCCATCTGATCATCTCACCGTGGCTCGTAAAGACAAATCTCCCGTAACGTCACGACGGCATCATCGGTCTGGAAATATGTGCATACTCAAGCGTTTCTTTCCTCCTATGGCCTGAGCACAAAGGAAGATGAAAAATGCAGACATGGGATGAATTCATTTGACTTTGTGTTCACATGCAGACTAAAAAACGGCATTCAATCTGTTGTACAGGCAGTCTGTTTTCTATTTGTTAATAAAAAGGAGAGAAATATGTGTTAATAAAATGCTTAATTGGGTCTTGTGAGGGTTTGCTGTATCCTGGTTCCTTCAGCACATTTCCAGGGGAACAGATGGTCCCTCTCCAGTGTGTGTGTGTGTGTGTGTGTCCTTGCCAGAGAGCCAGATCTCCGTCCATCTCAGTTTAATGTGAAGGCATGTGGATTGGATGTTCTACATGATTCATTAGTTGTGGAACACCTGGAGACTTCAATCTTCCTCCAAAACCCCAGCTACCGGACAGAAAGGTTTGCTAATTGTATTAAAAACGAATTATCTAATTAAAATAGCCCCTTTGCTCTAAGGTCACACTTGTTGTTTCCCATTGTAGATTCTAATTAACAAATAATTACACCTAATTCCCGGTTTGGAGACAATAATCAATGCCTTTGGTTGTTGCTGGAGCTTCAAAAATAATTTAATTGCACATTTTTTGGTCTGGAATCTGACAATTTTTCCAAAAGTTATATAGTCATTTCAAATTTATTTCAGATATTGCAGATGCAGTGTCTTACACAGGGGTGTTTCTTCATGCACAAGTGTATGTGTTTTGAATTTATATATTTGTATGTGATGAGTGAATTTTAGAAATAATGTCTATTATTCATATCAAATTGGAAGTATATGGCTCGATAAAGGTTAATATATTATTTGTACAATAGGCTATCACACGTAAATGGCTGCATATGTTCTTAACCTATATATTCTGTGGGAGTATAAACTTTTCTTTATGTTTGCATCCATATGATTCAGTAGAGATGTATTACAGATATTTTATCTGCATAATTTTATATAAAAACAGCTATTTGGCTGTGTATATTGAGATGCATGCACTGAGTTAAATAATCTAAATATATATATATATATAAATACAAATAATCTATAACATTCATAACCCGTATAGGCTACTCAGACATACGACTCTATACGATATTTGAGACATATATGTTCAGGGCGTGTGAGCTTTATGTAATATAGGGTTAAAGTATTTATGAACCCTATATAGGCCAGTAGGTACATCTATACAATCAAAATTTTCACATCTATGTTACTCTATATGAGATGCATGGATACCATCTACAATGCCAAATACACAGAGATGTACACAAACATATAATCAATATCTACAAGGTTCTGTCTCATCTGTATATTATTTATGTATTCTATAGCTATCTACTCTATATTTCCTCATGATTCATATTATAGCCCAAATATATCATTTGTGGAGTGAATACCTACTGTGGATACACGTGTGATCTATATGACTGCATCTAATAATTCTTTATAGTCTATAATACAAGTGAAGATCCATATTATTCTATGTTCCCATATCATTCAAATAGAGAGATGTATACCGACGAATTTTCCATATTATCTTATCTAAAAGGCCCCGTAGGACCCATGTGCAGAGCGTTGATTAGGGGCCGCGCGCAGGGGAACGCCTTCTTCCATCTTTGTAAACAGAGTTGCACGCATGCGCAGTCGCGCTCCGCTCTAATGGAGGACATGTCTGGTTTGTAAGCGTCTTTTTCTGCGCTGTTTTTCTGAGTTTGCGCCCTCAACATCCCTCAACTGAGCCCGCGACACCCGTGAGTAAAGTCCTCTCAGCCTCTCCTCACACATATGCGCTGGTTTGCGTGTGTGGGGGGGGATTTCATGTGTGTTTTAGTGCGTGAATGCTGGTGTTTACAGTAGTTAGCCATCAGGCTCATCAAAGTTTGGAGCAGATCAATAATTCATGTCATAACACAGTTATACACTTCCAAAAGCCTTTAATTAAATCGTGTTGAGGTATATGAGCGTGTGTGTGTTGAGCTGAAGCGGTGTGTTTGCGCGACAGGAGTTAAGTTTGTGTTCATTTGAGCGGCTATAGCCGTCAGTGTGTGTTTGATGTTGTTTTTGCTGTGAGTTTGAGAGATTTCGAGGTCAAACTTTAAATGTTTCTGAGCAGAACCTGACGATGAGATCATGATACATTCATAGATGTGATGCTTTCTGATTAAACTCTCTGAATTAGCATATATTTTGCGTTAATCTGGCTAATGTCAGCTAGCATGCTAGTGTGAGTTTACTCAGGTGCTTCAACATTCACAATCATAGCAGTTATTAAACACTAGAGTGGGTTAATGCTTTTTTATGACATACCGTGAGCTTGAATAAAAGAGTTTAGTTATGTATTTGTGTAAAAAAAAATGCATGTAGTTTATCATATAATGTTGATAATTGCAAAAAAGGCTATTTCTGTCAGTCAACTGTCAGAAGTTGTTTTATTCTAGTTTTGCCGTCTAAATCAGTTTGATTTTAATCAATATTAACTGCTGTTTCATTGTGGTTTTTCTAAATATTTTTATTTTAAATATTTATACTTTTTGTATTCTTATTATATTTAAAGATAATTCTAATCATAATTTAAAAAAATAATAAATGTAATTAAATGAAAACATATTTGTAATCATTTTTATTCAACATTAAATACTTTTTGAAACAGCTTTTATTACATAATGAATATTTATTGATTCATTTTTAAATTATTTCAAATTGAATTATTATTATTATGATGATATTTTGAGTTTAAAGTTATCATGAACATGTGCCAGCCTTGACTCGTAGTAGTAACCGTAGTGGTGGTTTACATGTGGAGTTTAGTAGTTGGTCAGGTGATGTTTTCTGGAGCAAGAGTAATCTAAATGCAATGCAAATATTAGCCTCCAATGTTTCTGTGGTGTGGTTGTTGCAAGAGTTAAAAAATAAAAATAAAAATGAGTATGCTGAATTCTTCCTGTTTTTCATACAGTTCAAGTGGCAGAATGGCTTCGGACTCGGTCTCTCAAAGCTCCCAGAGTCCTGCCATCAGGATCATGACCTTTCATCCCACAAAAGAGGAGTTCAAAGATTTCAACAGATACATCGCATACATGGAGTCGCAGGGGGCGCACAGAGCCGGCATGGCAAAGGTTAGTTAGCCGTAAGATTTTCATTAAGCTCAAATCGCTGTGAGAGACTTTGGTGTTGTGGATGGGAAGTTTGCAACTACGTTTGTTTGTGTCAGGTGGTGCCACCAAAGGACTGGAAGCCCCGGCGCACATATGATGACATCGATGATCTGGTGATTCCCGCCCCTATTCAACAGGTGGTCACTGGCCAATCAGGGCTCTTCACTCAGTACAACATCCAGAAGAAGCCAATGACAGTCCGCGAGTTCCGCAAAACAGCCAACACAGACAAGTGAGTGGCAAATGTTGATGCGTTTAGATACGGTTGAATCCTAATGCCTAATTCGGTAATAAACATTTGAAATCAAAATGACTGCTAATTTGCTTTTTAATAAATATGTTGGCATGCAGGATTCATCACATTATTTTCTAGAGGAATAACAATTTCCACATATGAAGTGATTTTTTGCTGCCATTCAAAAGTTTGTTTGATGAATAGAAACAGATAGACATTATAAATGTCTTGACCTATAAAAGTACAGACCCCACACTTTTAAACAGGAGTGTAAGTCTGATTGGACAGGGAAACATAAGAGTAGCTGATAATAACAAAGCCTACTTTTCAAATCTCGAGGCATAAAAACGTATCCTGGCCAATATTATTATCACCCACATGTTCTTGTTCGCTCTGAGATGCATCACATTATAAAAATAATGTCAACTCGACTCCAGGTTCTGTAATCCCATATATGCTGATTTTGATGAACTGGAGAGGAAATATTGGAAGAATTTAACATTCAATCCACCATTATATGGAGCAGATGTCAGTGGAACCCTCTATGATCCAGTGAGTAAAAAAATCTTAAATTTCAGATATGACCCCTGTACACACAGTGTCATGATAGTGCTATTCAATGATTGCACATATACATATATATATATATATATATATGTGACTGTATACAGGACGTGACGGAGTGGAATATCGGTCGTCTCAACACTATTTTGGACACTGTGGAGAGAGAGAGTGGAATCACTATCAAAGGAGTAAACACTCCATATCTTTATTTTGGGATGTGGAAGAGCACATTCGCCTGGCACACGGAGGACATGGATCTCTACAGCATTAACTACCTTCACTTTGGAGAACCCAAGTCCTGGTACTGTCTCAACTCGTGTTTAATGTTTGCATTTGCCCATAGGAAACAGGAAACAGAACTCATAAGAAGCATTTGTTCAAATGCACAACCATTCAATTGTCTTTAAATGAAATTGTTACTTTTATTCAGCAAGGACATTTTTAACATTACAAAATATTTTCTGTTGCATCAAAGAATCCTGAAAAATTGATCAGTTTTCAAGTTTAAACTCTTTTCACCATTGCTAATAATCATAAATGTTTCTTGGGCAGCAAATCCTCATATTAGGATGATTTCTGAAGGATCGTGTGACTCTGAAGACTGAAGTAATTCAGCTTTGATCACATGAATAAATTACATTTGACTATATATTCAACATATAAAACAGCTATTTTATTAGTTCTCAGTATTACTGTATTTTTGATCAAATAAATGCAGCCTTGGAGAGCAGAAGAGACTTATTAAGGCCCTATTAATATTCATACCGTCCTAAAGAGATTTTGGTAACACTTTACAATAAGGTCCGTTAGTTAAAATTAGTTAACTACATTAGTTAATATGAACTGCACATATACAGCATTTATTGATCTTTGTTAATGTTAATTTCAACATTTACTAATATTTTATTTAAATCTTGTTAACATTAGTTAATGCACCGTGAACTAACATGAACAAACAATGAACAGCTGTATTTTTATTAACTAACGTTAACAAAGATGAACAAATACAGTAACAAATGTATTGCTCATGGCTAGTTCATGTTAGTTAATACATTAACTAATGTTAACTAATGAACCTTATTGTAAAGTGTTACCGAGATTTCAAAAGTGTTATTACTCGGTCTCCTGCAGGTATGTTGTTCCTCCAGAGCAAGGGAAAAGATTGGAGCGTCTTGCTAAAGGTAAGGTGGTCTTTTAAAAACGTCTAATTAGTTCTTCCTCTCCCTCAGCCACTCGTTTACTCAGGCCTCTTCTCGTTTTCATTCATGCAGGATTTTTCCCTGGAAGCGCCCAAAGTTGTGAAGCCTTCCTGCGACACAAAATGACTTTAATTTCACCGTCAATTCTGAGAAAGTATGGAATACCCTTTGAGAAGGTTAGTTACCTTATTTTTATCATCCTAGCATGTCGTGCTTGATTTTAATCTCATGATTTGACTTCTTTCTGCTTAATTCATTAGGTCACACAGGAAGCAGGTCAGTTTATTGTGACCTTCCCATTCGGATATCACGCTGGGTTTAACCATGGCTTCAACTGTGCCGAATCCACCAACTTCGCATCCCAGCGCTGGATAGATTATGGCAAGGTGGCAACATTGGTACGTTTTTGGATCTTAAAGGCCCTTGCACACTGAGCCTGAAATTTTCGTATTCGTGATTCGGTGGCTTCATGTTCCATTCAAACTGCTTGCTACGGATGCGAAAAACACAAAAAATCTAACCTGATCTGATTTTTTTTTTTTTTAATGACGGATGAAAGTTTCAGAGGCAGTGTGCTAGCATGATTACATAACGTGAGGTCGTATTTATTTTTGACATGCGAAAATTTCGGACTCACTGTGCAAGCGGCTTATAGGGGTCCCGCGGATCCTTAAAAAGTCTTAAATTAGATTTTTTAAATATAAGGCCATAAAAAGTCTTATTTTTACTTTGAAAGGTCTTACATTTTAGATGACACTTCGACTTAGTCATATTTAAATGTTTTCCAAATTAAAACCATCTAATTAGTGTACGTATTATTTTTTTTTATTGGCCTATTCTATCTTTGTGGATTTGCTTGTTCACATGACAATTCGCATCACATTCGTGGCAGAATAACGTCTGGGTCCTGCACGCGAGAGAAGAAGAAAGTTGGCAAATGTCAGTTCAGTCGTAAGTTAAAGTTATTGTAGGCAGTAATTTAAAAAAAAACAAAAAAAACTTCCCAATTTGTTTAAACTTTCTGTATACATCAATGCATAATTAAAATGTAAGTACTCTGAAAAAGAAAGTATAAAAATCAAGTGTCTGTAGACCTCTGACGACTGCTCATTATTTCCATTCACTTCACCCCCTCCCTTCTGGGCTCCTTCCTATGGTTATAGTTCGTCCCCAAATTACTTTTTGTCTTATATTTATATCATATTATGTTCTTATATTAGAATATCATATCAGTAAGAGTGCCGTTTTCCTGTGCACAAGTGTGATATTTGTTATACAATAGTTAAATTTAAAATAAATTGACATTGTGAGTTAGTTTTTAGACATAACATTATCAATATTGTTTGTTTTCCCTTTATTTCGCAGACTAGAATTTTAAAATAAAACCGTAGCAGAGTCTAATGCAACAGACAGCGATGATCTCTTGAATAAAATCCGGATTTTGAACGAATCATTTTAACGATTCAATGAACAATCACTTGCTTCTTTCCCGAATGAATCAGCCATTTGAACAAATCGGTTGAACGAATGACTCCCTCAACTCTCTTATTAAGACGGTTACTTGCCGCCGCCTTTTAGTTTCATATTTAAAGTAAAACGTTAAAGTTAGAAATCAATTCATATTTAAATATTGATTTTAAAAAAAACGTATAGCTTTATTTATGCAATTGTAAATGGAGTGTAAATATTAATGCTACTTCTGATGCTGATTCTGTCTAAATTACTGTAAAATTTTAATTTGAATGTTAGTATTCGACATAAAACGTGACACATAACTCTAAATAAGTTTAGAAAAAAATGTCCATATATAGGTGAAAATGCCCTGGAAATCAATTTAAGGTGGCAAATATTGCACATTAATTAATAATTTCTGTCACTGCTGTGAACTGACCACTGCATAGAATATGAAATATATGAATATCTCCGCGAGTCTGCTGTCAACAACAGGCCTAAACCAGCCATGCACCAGCACAAAAACACAATCAGTAAAATATCATCGAATTATTATCAACAAAACGTTGAAAATATCGAGGTATATTTTTGTCAATATTGCACACCCCTACTGTATGGTATTAATTTTGATTTCTTCAGGTCTTAAAAAGCCTTAAATTGAACCCCGCCTTAAGAATGACAGCCACGGGCATGTTTTGATAGTTGATGTGTGTCTCTTTCTCAGTGTTCCTGCCGGAAAGACATGGTGAAGATATCCATGGATTTGTTTGTTCGCAAGTTTCAACCAGAACGTTATAAACTTTGGAAAGCAGGAAAGGACAATGCGCCCATTGACCACTCAAAGACCACACCAGTGACGTCAGAGCTCCTGACAGACGGAAAGACGGAGAGCGAGAAGGGAGAGCTCAGCGATAGCAGCAAAGAGGAGCGAGGTGAAGCGGAGCCTGGAGACGAGCAGAAAGCTAAAACGGATGATAAAGAGAAGGGGGACAGCGCAGAAACACTACCTGGGAAGGAGGTGAAAAGAGAGACTGATGGTGGAGAGGAGAAAACAGAAGTAGAGAAAGGAGAGGTAGAGGAGAAAAAGCCAGTTCGCGATGAAGAACCTAGCAGCACTTCAGAGCAAATCAACAGGTGTGTAGAAATAAACTTTACTAACTTTATTAATATTATAAGTGAACCTCAAGGAACATATTAAAATAATTTTTATAAAATCCATGTCATGACCCCTTAAATTAATAATATAATAGTGTATAAACACTGATTTGAAATATACGCTGCTGAAGGTTGTGCTATGCTAGAAGATATGGCACCCTACTAGAAAACTAGGTCCCGCTTTATATTAAGTGGCTCTAACTATTAATAATTTGAAACGATGGACTTATTGTGTACATTGTACTTATGTTTGAAAAATACCTGCATGTAAGTACTTCTGTAATTAATTTATGTAATCCGATCGAGACGAAACCACCGTCAGAAAATTGGAAACATGGGTCGCTGGCTATGTGCTAATGCCCAAATGCAAAAATATTGATGGTAATGGGTAGTAAAACTCAATCAAAGTCACGTGTCAGTCATTTTTTACGTGTTTTTTCACATAAATATCTATAACTTCGAAACGAATTGAGGTATTTGCACCAAAATTGGCACACAGATGTATGGGCTCACTCTGAGGACATCTAAAACATATTGTGTGACTGAGCCTCTTGGTGGCGCTATAACAGAACATAACATGCTACACTTAATGAATGCATTGGTGTAACATTGCGAAACTCAGTTTGTGCCATCAGCACCATCCCCTGAAGGTACTCAAAAGATTTCAAGACAGCGCCACCTTTTGGTCATAATAAAAGTTATAACAAAATTTTGAATAATTCTTATAACTTTTGAATAAATCTGCATATTTTAATGCGACTGGTCTAAAGGGTTTTTTCATCGTCACCAACTCTGACCACATCACATCGATTTTGTAACTACATCACCTATTGGTTGAAAGTGATAATCCATTTAATCACATTTTTAGTTAATTGTATGCGATTTTTCAGCCATTTTGCCTAAATTCATCTTTAAATGTCTTCAATTGCTCCTTGCTGCAGTTGGTCTGACACATGTTGGCATGTTTTGTCATCTGATTGTGCTTGGCCCTGGTAATTGCTGCTTGCAGCTTTATTTACGTTTGTAATTACACTGTTGACCTATCCCTTACACCTTAACCTGTCCCTAACCATATACTTGTCACTCCTCAATAGCAGCAAAAGTGTTTTACAATACACAATTTTTCTTACTTTTCGATGCAAGCACACAGTGCTTAAAGCCACTTAATATAAAGTTGGACTGAAAACTACACAATAATTATAATTTCGACCCACTAAAGTGTATATTGGTCTCTGATCTCCCTTCTCTTCATACAGCGTTAGTCCAAAGCAGAAGGTGGGGCAGAAGCGGCTCAGACCCAGCACTGGAAATGATGCGAAAAAAGACGACAATCAAGTGAAGGTAGAAGAGGAAGAAGTCGAGAAAAAGAAAGCCAAACTCATCCAGACTGAGACAGGCGACGAGAGGGAACAATCCATCTCCACTGACCCAGGTAGAGTCTCATGTACAGCATATGATACCTGCCGATTAGGGGAGTAACGATACACGTATTGGTCTTGAACCCGCACGACCACCACATCAAATGACAAACGTAATAAAACTGAATAATAAAACTTGAACCAATGTCAGTGCAGCGTGGGCACTGTTACTACACTGCGCTAAGAGATCCAGAAAAGAAAGCATTTGAATTCACCACATAAGTAATAACATCGCTGCGAGATCTAGTGAGATGCATTCAAGTTTCTCTGTTATTAACGGATTAAACATCGCTTATGTGGAAACCAGGAGAAACATTGTGCCATGATGAATGAACTAGTTAAATCAGCAACATTCACCATGGATTTAATGTCGTAACACTAACTGTATGCATGAAAGTTTGGCAGGAATAGTAAAATCCTTTCAAGAACATCACACATCTTTTTCCAGCACTTCAAAACTCAAATATTATCATATTTAAATGTTATTTTTAATAATGTGATGACAAACCTTATTTGTTCATTCTTCAGAGATGACTCATTTATAAAATAAAAGTTTCAAGATGTGGAAAAATTCACATTTATTTAATCAATTAGATATTTTTTTCTAAAATTAAGGAATTTTCTCTGGCATTTCTTTCTTTGCTTTATCGGAAACATACCGAACCATGACACCACCGTTTTGTATCGAACCGAACTGGGATTTTTGTGAACCGTTACACCCCTACTGGTAATTCTATTATAAAAATACTAAACTGACCAATGTGTTTCTCTGCAGGTGATGTTGAAGCTGAGGAGACCATGGAGACAGACACGCCCCCTCCACAGCAGCAAGAGAGTCAAGCCCCTCCCTGCATGGAGGCGGAACTCTCGCCTTCAAACCCCACCTCCAGCAGTGACATCGCGATGCAGCAAAGAGATGACATCACTCCTTCTGATCCCGATGTCACCTCATCTTCACAATCCACAAATAGCATCGGTGATGATGTGGCTCTGTCAAGTGATGCCTCTCAGTCTGGACAGGTCACTCAAAGCTGTGATGTCCAAACCATCTCTGATGACATCACTCCAAACACTGTTAGCATCACTGATGCTCAGCCGAGTGACGTCACCCCCCATTCCTGTTCCAGTGACATCTCTGCCGCTGACGTCACACCCCTCGTGTCTGTAACCAGCAGCATCTCCTCTCAACACAGCATTAACTCCGCCCCCACATGTGATGACATCACAGAACCCAGCAACAGCACCATAAACACCATCAGCCCAAGTCTGTGTGAACCCGGCATTAACTCCGCCCCCACCTGGGATACCCAATCAGAACCCAGCAACAGCACTGTAAATACCATCAGCCCTGGTCAATATGAGCCCGGCATTAACTCCGCCCCCACCTGTGATGACATCACAGAACCCAGCAACAGCACCATAAACACCATCAGCCCAATTCTGTGTGAACCCGGCATTAACTCCGCCCCCACCTGTGATGACATCACAGAACCCAGCAACAGCACCATAAACACCATCAGCCCAATTCTGTGTGAACCCGGCATAAACTCCGCCCCCACCTGTGATACCCAATCAGAACCCAGCAACAGCACTGTAAATACCATCAGCCCTGATCCAAATGAGCCCGCCATTAACTCCGCCCCCACCTGTGATGCCCAATCAGAACCCAGTAACAGCACTATAAACACCATCAGCCCTGATCCAAATGACCCTGGCATTAGCTCCGCCCCCACCTGTGATACCCAATCAGAACCCAGCAACACCATTATAAATAGCATCAGCCCTGGTCCATATGAGCCAGGCATTAACTCCGCCCCCACCTGTGATGCCCAATCAGAACCCAGCAACAGCATTATAAACACCATCAGCCCTGATCCAAATGAGCCCGGCATTAACTCCACCCCCACCTGTGATACCCAATCAGAACCCAGCAACAGCATTATAAACCCCATCAGCCCTGATCCAAATGAGCCCGGCATTAACTCCACCCCCACCTGTGATGCCCAATCAGAACCCAGCAACGGCATTATAAACACCATCAGTCCTGATCCATATGAGCCCAGCATTAACTCCGCCCCCACCTGTGATGCCCAATCAGAACCCAGTTACAGCCCTAAACACAAGCCCGGCATTAACTCCGCCGTCACATATCATGTCACTCCAGAATCCAGCAGAGCCATCAATCTTACTCTTGCAGAATCAGCGTCAGTGGGCGGTAGTCCGGTGTGTCCGCCCGCAGTCCAGCATATCTTCCAGAGAACGCTGAGCCCTGCTGAGGTGCTGCACGTCCACAGCTACGCTAAAGGAGATTACAGCGATCCCGAGCCGCGCATTCGGCACGAGAGTTATCGAGACAGCGACTCTGATAGCGATTCCCAAGAGGACTGTAAGGTGCGTATGATGCCGTCTGTCTCTGTTGTTTAAACGCCTGATTCATTTAAGGGATTGACTGCTGCGCTCGCTGATGACGTCATTTTGTAGACCAACCCAGAAGTTAGCATTACCTTTTGGATTTTTGCAGGAAATAAGCTCTGTGAACAATAGAGGTGTTTAATTATTCCTGCATGTTCTGTTCATCATGATAACCTTCACAAATGAACACAACTGTTATGAATTTTGAAGTCTAAGTACAATCGGCAGAAGTAAAAAGCTAGAGTTTGGCTACAAATGAGCTACACCACGGTCACATGACTTCAATGTCACCTCCATTAATCTTCAGACTCTTTCAGCCAAACTCTTTAAACTCTTTGTCTATATTTAAAAAGAAATAGTTTGAGTTGAAATAGTTTGCAAGAGTGTGATTTATAAACTAGCTGTAAAAGTGAAAAGATTTGTGTGTCCGACAACCTCTGTAGTCTCATTTAGCCACTTGTTAGCAACCGCCTTTTTCAAGACAAGTAAAAGCTTCAAGCAATACTAAGATTTTTTTTTTACCTTAATTGCGATTTTTCACTTTTTTGATTTTAAATAGTGTGTAATGTTGCTGTTGGTGCATGAACAGTATCTGCAAAGCTGAAGTATCTTGCAGCGCTGAAGTTCAGTGTAAGCAGAGATATCGTCTTTTAAAAATCAGGAAGTATATTGCCTACAAAAATGACTCGAATGGGACTACAGCGGGTTTTAGACGTCACTAACCCACACATTTACATAAACCCTCCCTCTGGAATATGCAAAAAAGGGCATGGCCATATTTCTGCGGCTCGTCGAGTGAGTTGTGTTCACCAGCTGTCAGGTCTTCTGTGTTCGAGCTTCCCACGGACGCTTTACTTCGTCAACAATGGATACAATTTATTTTTATGTATTTTATGTCACAGAATAAATTTTTTAATATTTTGAGGTCGTGTTAAACATCAAGTCGTATTTCAGCCATTTAACCAAAAACCCACTGACTTTGGGAAGATGGAAGTTCAGAAATGCTAACTTGTGTCCAGGTTTTAGGACTCATTCCTGCAGCACTATATAATGCAAATCAGTTAGCAGTGCAAACACACCCACAAAAGGAGTCCTGAACGTAACTCTCCTTCTTGAATGCTTGAGCGCTAGATCGTGGAGGATGCAGTTTTTACCTCCTCATGCTAGCAAACCTCTCCGCTAGCACAGACCTGGCTATTTAAAGTGATGAAACTGCACTCTACTACTTCACATGTCTGGATATGAGCCCGCTTACAGCGCTCTTCCTCATCTGATGAATTACTGCTGTCATCAATTAAAACATCTCTCTTTATAAAAGTCTAAGTACCACCTGCTTTCATGATTAGTAGTAGCGTGACGTTAATTGCTCCAGAAAATATAACAAAATAATACGCCTAATTTTCATGGAAAGGAACGCTTATGCTGAAAAGAGTAGTAAATCAATTGAAATGCTCAAATGCATTTAAGTGCATTTATCTGTGGAGACGATGCATGTTTATGTGCTTCGTGTATTTATTGTGTAAAAACGGTTTTGAATTAATATTTGTACATTTTTATTTTATACAGTTTAGTTTATTTTCCCCCACATTTGACTGGTATTTCTGTCAATGAATCACAACCCCCCTGCAGTTCCATCATAATTCACTAGGGGGTTTGTGTGCTCTGCTATATATAATGAGTGTGTGTGTGTGTGGTCCTGCAGAAAGAAGATGAACATCCAGTGGAAGCTCAGCACAGACTTCCCAGACTGCCCAGGCATCATCCTCTGATGAAGGACAGCATCAGTGATGAAGGTCAGTGTACATGTGACCATGTGTTAACTAGAAGAAAATTGTGCATAATTACAAGCAACTAACCCTCAACCAAATCCTAATCCTACCCTAACCCTATAGTAAGTAAGTATGTAGTTCATTAATATAACTCAGTACTGAAGTGTATAATTACACTGTAACACAGATAAAAAATAAAACCTTAAAACCAAAGTTGCTATACCAAAGTGCCATAATCACGCTGCATAAAAGCATCCTGTGAATGAAGAATGCTGTGATTGTGTGTGCATGTGCAGAGCTGCAGGATCAGGCTGCATCAGAGGAGGACGGGCTCGACGGGGAGGCCTGGGCGCGACCTTTGACCCAGCTGTGGCAGAACAGACCGTATAATCCAGAAAGAGAGAGAGAGTACAACAGAGAGATGGGTCTGCTGCCTCCATACTGCGCTGTGTGCATGATCTTTCAGGCTCATCAACGGGTACGGTGGCCTTTATTTTTTTTTAGTCCTGGCCGGTATACCAGTTCACACTGTTTATTTTTGTTATGATTAGGGCTGTAAGTTTAACGCGTTATTAACGGCGTTAACGCAAACCCATTTTAATGGCGTTAATTTTTTTATCGCGCGATTAACGGTCTTTTGGTCCTAGCAAACTTTGTAGTCTTTACACATGCTTTTGCAACAGACGCGGCATGCGTCCTGATCCATTTCGGCGTCTCGCGCTCGTCATCCACTAAAAGGCGGCTCGCAAGCCGAAACGTGTGTTTGCGGCGTGCCTGTTGTTTTGTTTACAGTCTAGATCCGCTTGCGCTTTGGTCGAACAAAACGTCCTCGCGCGGCGCAAGCCATTGAAATGAAAGGGTTTTGTGCCGCACACACTCGCAAGCCGGCCAAATAGTAACGTTACTTTTGAGTGGATGACAAGCACGAGACGCCGAAATGGATGCCCTAAAATTCTGAATGGAAAATTTACTTTTAAAAAGTTGCCATATTGTCTGAACAGATCAAAGTGATCTGTGTTTTGTCGTTGTGAACTGAGTTATCATCGCAGCACGTCCAGTCTGAAACACCACTTGATGATGGCAAAGCAAACACACACACACACACACACAGATGATGAGAATTCTCCGCCCCCTCGCCAATATTAGGGCCTCGTCAGTATTTCTTTCACCCTTTTATTGATAGACAGTGTTGCATTGTGTGAGAGATTATTTATAGGCTGTATGTTAGTGTGATATTGAACACTATTCCAATGTTATTTTCAATAATAATTTTTCCACTTTTTCATATTTATAAGAGCATTAAAATGAGAAAAAAATAATGTAACAAAAAGAAATCAAGAGACATTTAGAATAGATAAAAATGTGCGATTAATCGCGAGTAAACTATGACATTAATGCGATTAATCGCGATTAAATATTTTAATCGTTTGACAGCACTAGTTCTGATATAAATAGCAGTGTGTGTTGCTTTAACGGTGCTGGGGACGCTTTTCACTGTTGCACTGTGGTTGGGGCACAGCTTTGAAGATGGATAGGTTAAACTATAATTGACAGATGTCACATTATATTACAGTGTTTCTCATATTAGTTCACAATATCAACACTGCCAACCACAAATTGATTTCCAAAAGGCTTTAACAATAAACATATGCACTGCACGTCTCGAAGTCAAAACTTTTGATGATATTTCAATTGAATCTTTCCTGATGAAGCAGTGTTTATGAGCTGCTTTGTATAGACGTTATGTGTATAGATTTCTACAATATTCCCTCATGACAGTAAAATAGGGCATTCTAAGTCAATCTACTGCTGTATTTCCTCTCTCAATCACTAGATTAACACCCAGTCATGCTTGAAAAATAATGATACCGCCATAATGTTTGAAAAATACCGTGATATGGATTTTTTAATTCTAATTTCTTTCCTGTCACTGGAGTATAAGGAAGGTCTGACACTCGCTGTGTGTGTGTTCAGTCTGAAGGGGGCGAGAGCGAGCCGGCTGTGGTGCTGCCCAGGGGTCAGATAAGGACCAAGCCTCTGATTCCAGAGAGATGTTTCACCACCACCACAGAAGACAGCGCGGAGGACCAGACACCCACACCTGGCCTGGAGGAAGACGGGACCAGCCTGCTCATCAGCTGCTCCCTGTGCAGAGTCCGTGTGCACACCAGTGAGTGCTGGACCAGAGAAGTTCCCTTTTCATACATTGCCATTCAAAAGTTTTTTTGCATATTCATAAACATTTTTGTCAATATGCCAGAATTAGCCTAAAGGCTATTTTTCATCTGCAGTCCCTAGACAGTTGGTAAAAGTCACCCTAAAAAAAGATTACATCGTACATACTTATGATATTTTTGCCATATCGCCCACCCCTAGTACATAGCATACATTTAGTAAAATATCCGTCTAGTTATTTTTACACTCAACAGGAGTATGGCAACAAAAACACAGAACAGAACGTTTTAGGTGTTAGCATGTTAGATAAGGTTAGATGTTAGAAACATGGTTAGTTTAATATACAGTTTAAAAATCTATCACACCAGCATGCATGTGAACGTCTGCAGTACTGTTTGAAAAGCATCCCAACGATGCACCATGGTGGTCTCATCATAGATTTTTCAAACACACCCTTTTCTGACGATAGGCAAAACGCTCTCGCGGTACTTTGTCATTAACCGATCGGTCCGTGCAGCGCCGGTTCAAATCGAACAAGCCTGAAGGATGTTCAGATCTGTTTCATTTGCTCTGTTTGTTCCAGGTTGTTACGGTGTGGCCGCTTTGAGAATTTCCAAAGACTGGAAATGTGCCCGCTGTAAAGCCAACGCCTTCTCTGAGGTACACATAAACATCTTCACATATAGTGGCCCGAAAAGTTTTGGACACTTTGAGACCCAGAAATGTACAACTTTCTTTGAAGTTTTCTCCTGTAAGATTAAGGCCGTCGAGCTCTAAAAACAACAACAATACAACATACATGTTTGAAATATGAGCTATGTTTCTTTTTGTGAAATGTTTTACTTGAACAGTGTATTTTACTTTAAAACAATGTTTCTTATCAAATGCAGTGACATTCATACATTCAATGTGACCAAATACTTTTTGGGCCGATGTACACTTGCATTAAACCCATAATCTCTGTGTTTAATATCAAGTATGATGTCAGTGATGTTTGAATCTGTGATTCCTGACAGAGTTGCTGTCTGTGTTCGTTGAGAGGAGGAGCGTTACACAGAGCCAATAATGGCAAGTAAGTAAAACGAAAGTCCACTAGAGGTCATGCCTCCTGACCTAGAAGTTACATTAGCTCTTGAATTCCTAGAGCTGTGTTTTTGTGTGCTTTTAGTTTAGAGCAACAAGAACCTTTTGTATCCATGCAACTTCACTTGTTACAAAACTCTGGTTTGAGATTACAGGAATCAGTATCTTTCAAGGTGAAGTTCACAAAACCTCTCAAGAACTGCTCAAAAGAAAGAAATTAGAAATGATATTTGCTTAAGTAAAATTATTTATACCTCAGTATTTGTTATGCCATGTGTAATTTTACTTAAACCATGGTCTGGGTGAATACTCAATTCTGATTGGCTGCAGGGTGTCCATTAAAAAGTGGTAGAGGACACCTAGTAAAAGAAGTTCACCGTTTGAAATCAATAAATAAATGCGCTGGCTACATCATCTGCGTAACCATAGCAACAGGCAGTCAAAGTGCAGGCTCATGACTAAAAAACGAACGTTTTTGGCTTTCTGGCTGGTAAGTTAGCTAAGCTGAAGGGTTCTCCGAGCTGAGCGGACTCTAAATATCTCCAGTTGTTAAAAGATAAACCGTCAGGCGTGACCAGGGAAACCAAGTTATTGTTTGTATAAACTTTAGATTTCGATTGTAAAACTAATAAAATTGTTATTTGGCAAGTGGCCGTGGTTATAAGGTGTCCGGTGCGCGTCGGACTGTTCATGCCTCACCGTCGTTCATATACACATAGACAATGGACATCCAAAAAATCTTCATACAGGGGACTACCTGTAAAATTAATTAAATGTGGGACCAAAAATTATTCAGACACTTTGACCTGACTTTTGCTTAAGTGTTTTTTCTTTAATTGCTAATGCGACCTTTTATGTGAAAATAATGGTAATTACAAAACACTCAAAAGTAAAACTTCCAGACAAACTTTAATAATGTCCCACCGTAAGTAATCCAAAAAAGAAATAATTTTCCTAAATGCTTATTTTTATGTTTTGATTCGGAGGTGAAATGTGACTCGGACATGTTCTTGAGAGGTTTTTTTTTGAGATTCATCCTGCTGTTCTCGTCAGCATCTGTAAATGTTGTGGTTCCTGACGTGTGTCTCGTGCACAGATGGGTTCATGTCCTGTGTGCGGTGGCAGTGCTAGAGGCTCGCTTTGTGAACATCGCCGAACGATCACCCGTGGACCTCAGCGGCATTCCCTTACAGAGGTTCAAACTGGTGAGTTTCTGTGCGGTAACAGCAACATTTCACTTGTGGTTTTACACCAAACCTCCATCAATCAACAACTAGACCTGTCTTAAGTCATGTCCCACATCCTTCATAGGAGAAAACAACACTTTTTGGCACAGTTTGTAAGTTGTTACTGAAATGGCTTTGACACAGAGTTACTTGAGGACTCACTTCCTCTTAACTGACTTCCTGTGAGCTCTTGTTTTGTGTCTGCTTTTAGAAGTGCTACTACTGCAAACGGCGGATGAAGAAGACGTCAGGCTGTTGTGTGCAGTGTTCTCACGGTCGCTGCCCCACCTCCTACCACCCGACCTGCGCACAGGCCGCAGGCGTCATCATGCACCCGGACAACTGGCCCTTCGTCGTCTACGTCACCTGTTGCCGCCACAAAGGCCCGGTACAATCAGAGGTATTGAGCCCTGAAACTCTAAAGTTTTTGTTGTATTTATATGATGTTTGTATTTTTGTAAATGAATTTTTGCCATGAAAATAGCTCTGACTGCAGACATGGCATGGAATAAAATAATCTGAATCATCTAAATCCAACGCACACAGCACCCTTTAGCATCAATATGAGATGCATCTAGGCCAGAAGGCGCCTCCTAGTGGTCTAACCCTAACCCTACCCCAGACCTAAACCTACCCATAACCGAACAAAGCTCTGTGCGTGTTATATTGACGCTAAAGGGTGCCATGTGCGTTGGATTTAGACGAAATGTCAAAAGCGTCACTTTATGACGCCCTAGGATGAGTTTGCTTTGGTTTAGGCATGGGTCTTCCATCATGATCCTGCATCGTGACACTAACATCACTGTTTTCCCCCCTTGTAACTACTTCAGTAGTTTTAAGTGTCCTATCACAAAAAATAACAAGGATAACACATCTGTTAAATCACATTTACTTCCTATTTCATTTTAGTTCCCCTTAGGCCACTATAGAACATGATTATGTGTTGTATTTTTCTTTCTCTAAACCTTAATTAAAAAGTAAAGTTTTTATGACCGTGATCGTTTTCATTATGTGCACCTGAATAATTTACGCCTGATATTAAAAGTATATTTCTTTTATTCTGAAAAGCCTCCACCCTCCTATCCATTAAGTGACCGTCATTTTATGTCGATGCCAGGATCAGTCATTTAAAACAAATTACAGAGTAATTGAAATGATGGAACTTAGGAAAATTACAACATCAAAAAAAAATGACTTGGAATTTAGGAAGAAATACAAGATGTTTCATTGGGCCTGATGTCTGTTTCTCCTCTGCAGCGTAATAAAGCAGCCATGCGAGAGCTCAGCGTGGGTCAGAAGGTCATCTGCAAACACAAAAACGGACGCTACTACCAGTGTGAAGTCATACAGCTGACAAAAGAGACCTTTTATGAGGTCAACTTTGACGATGGCTCCTTCAGTGATAACCTTTTCCCAGAGGACATTGTGGTAAGGCACAAGACGTGGTGCATTTAACTCATATTTTAACTAGATTTTAGAAGTCATGGAAAACCAGGAAGTATCAGGGGAAAATTTGAGTTTTGCAGGCCTTAAAAAGTCATTAATGAGTTTCTCTTCTGCTCCTCAACGCTGCATTTAGTTGATCAAACATACAGTGAAAACTGTCAAATTGCCACATAATTAAAATTTTAAATAACCATTTTCTATCATAATATATTTTAGAATGTCATTAATTCCTGTGATCAAAAACTGAATGTCTTCATGATCCTTCAGAAATCACTCTAATATGATGATTTGTTGCTTATTGTTGAAAACAGCATTTTAGTCTTGTGTTAAAACTATTTAAGGAGTCTTTAATGAATAGAAAGTTTAAGAGAACAGCTTTTTATTTGAAATGGAAATGTTTTGTAACATTATGAACGTTTTTACTGTAACCTTTGGTCAATTTGATGCGTCCTTTCTGGACAAAATATATATATTTTTTTAAAAGTACTGACTCCAAACCTTTAAACCATTGTTTATGCTTTGCCTAATTATGACTACAATATTACATATTCTTGTATATTGATGTTTTTGTGTAGAACCGAGACTGCGCTCAGCTGGGTCCGCCTCCACAGGGTGAAGTGGTTCAGGTCAGATGGACGGATGGTCTTGTGTATGGAGCTAAATTCGTGGCAGCTCATGTCATTCAGATGTACCAGGTAAATGTCAGAGAAGAGTTGAAGCAAAGGTTCCTGTGTCTGCGTTTAGTAAATCACTGCTTCTCTTCAGGTGGAGTTTGAGGACGGATCGCAGCTGACTACTAAGAGAGATGACGTCTACACCCTAGATGAAGAGCTGCCCAAGAGGGTCAAATCTCGTCTGGTGAGCTCTATATGTTAAGGATTATTGCAAGTAAAAATACAAAAAAAAATTGTGATGTGACAATAGTACTTTACGGAAGCCCTGAACCACAAGGTGAGAAAAAAAAGAAAACTTGTCTCGTTATAACGAGATATTATGCCGTTTTAACAACTTATTAAGTGGTTTTAACGACTTAGTATCTCGTTATAACGACATAATATCTCGTTATAACGATATAATAAGTCGTTAAAACGACATAATATCTCGTTATAACGGCTTAAGTCGTTAAAATGACATAATATCTCGTTATAACGACATAATAAGTCGTTAAAACGACTTAATAAGTCGTTAAAATTGCATAATATCTCGTTAAAACGACTTAAGTCGTTAAAACGACATATCTTGTTATAACGTCATAATATCCACACAATATCTCGGTAAACCGACATAATAAGTCATTCAACGAACAAAATGACTCGAAAAAAGATTTGTTTATTTTGATGAACGAGTTCGAACAGGAGCGTCACGAACACGCATCACAGTACAGAGCAAGGCGAGCATTTGTGCTTATAAAACTTAAACTTTGTTATTTATATTTTTAAAAGACCAATCGTTTCGCTTGATAAGACCCTTATTCATCGTCTGGTGTCGTTTGAAGCTGCACTGAAACTCTCATTTGGACCTTAAACCGTTTGGACCCCATTGAAGTCCATTATATGGAGAAAATCCTGGAATGTTTTCATCAAAAACCTTAATTTCTTTTCGACTGAAGAAAGAAAGACATGGACATCTTGGATGACTTGGGGGTGTGTAAATTATCCAGCAGCACCTCATTGCAGTACACGAGATCCAGGGGGCGGAGTTGCACCTCATTGCAGTACACGAGATCCAACTCCTCCCCCTGGATTTCGTGTTCTGCAGTGAGGACCATCTCAAATTATCAGCAAAAGCCCTCTAAATAAAATATGCGTGTTTAAAAGCTCAATTTGTGGTGAAAAAATACATAACAGTAAATCCCACCAATCAAAGAGTTGCGGCGAGTAAATCATGACAAAAGAGCTCGGAAGTGAACGCCCACTCCAATGTGCAGCAGATGATGTGATCAAGACGAGCTCGCTATGAGATTTGTTTGTCATATGTCATATTTTAATTGTTTTTAATTTGATTTACTGTTACTGTTTAAATGTTGATTATACTATACCTTCATTCACTATTCGCTACATTGCTCCACTGATATAATCCTCTTGAAGGAGTGAGTGAATTCACACACTGAGAGCTTCAGAGGTTTCCGCTTTTGCATAGTTTGTACTTGCGGTTTGATAATCATTTTAAACTTGGCAGCTTCAGTAGTAAAGAAAATATTTATCTTGAACTCTGTCATGGAAGCTAAACCTTAGTTAAATAATCTAATAATCAATTAAAAAGGAATTTAGACCTGTATGATATTAGTGGTTTGGAAAATGGATGGATGGATGATTCAGTTCCAGGCGTGGAAATTCATTCGGCGCACGAATGTCACATTGCATTATGGGTATTCTCTAACCATTGAGCGTATACTCTTGTTATTTTGGTGCATTGTGGGATTGAATGAGTGAAATCCACTAGGGTTTTGGACACCACTACAAATGGCCGTTCCCTCAAATAGTGCCCTATTAAAGGGTATAAGGGCGATTTCGTCTTTTTATTCGATTTTCAAAGGTTGTAATGATGGTTAATGGCTTTTGACTCTTTAATAAAGACATTTTAGAAATCGCTACGGAAAAAAATCTGAAAAAGTACTTGATTTTCATGTGTCTGTGTATTTCAGTCCAAGGCATCGGACATGCGCTTTGACGAGATGTTTGGAGAGAAGAAGGTTCAGGAGAGCAAGAGACAGCGAGTGATCAACTCCAGGTACAGAGGGGACTATATCGAACCCGTCATCTACCGAGCCATCATGGAGTAGCCAGCGACGACACGGCCACCTTCGTCACCTGAAACCACCAGCGGACTCGAGCACACACCCTGCCAATGCCAGTGGCGTTCAGTCTGCAATCTGTTCATGGCTTTCATCTGTCCTGATCTCATCTGAGTCGAGGCAGGGCGTTTCACAGCTTCGATGCCCTTTTAACCTCAGCTCTGTGAAACCGTGCCACAAACACATCATCATTCTGTTCACGAAGTCGCTCTCGCAATCACATTCGTTTGATGCAGACTATTTGTAATCTCCATTTCATAAAAACATTGAATTTTATCAAATCGCATTAATTTATTTGACTTAATTCGGGGTGCTGTTTCCACCCGTATTTTAGCGGCCGGAGGTGCCATCGTATTTTACGGACGCAGATCTACACTGTCATAAATGATGCAGTTGAGATCCTGAATATTGTACATTATTTGGAACATAATGAATTCAGCGTGTCTTTGAGAGTCATTTTGTACAAGCCTATTTATTACCTGGTGCTTTACGAAAGTAACTTTTGCAATATACGTGCGAGTTCCAGTTCTGTGGAAAGTTCAGTGTCTTTCTTTCGTAGGAAGGAGGAACTGTAGATGTGAAATGCCAAGGATCTCACTTTCGCAGTTGTTCAGAGCCCTGCCTTGCATTCTGGCTCAACACACACTTTCATTTATTGTAGCTTACTGCTGTCGACATTTGATCAAAAGCCCCACGGATTTAATAAGCTATTTTTGCACTTCTCAGCTGTACTTTTATGAATTGTCATCTTTGTCCTTGCCGTAGCCAAGCTCTAGAGACAGAAATGCTCTTCAGAAAAGCTGAGGCGGCCCATGTTTGACCCGTACGGCCTGCCGACAGCATTCAGAGAAAGTAAGCTTGTTGCAGTTCTTCGGTTGTTTGATAGATAGGGCTAATCTTCACTATTTAGAAAAACATATTTTTTTCTATCAAGAAGCCTATTTTATTGTTGTTTTATGATACATGTTAAATGTTCATATACTGTGAGATAGAGTTGTATGTAGTTAATTTAAAAGATCTCTCGGCACGTTTCTTCTGCCTCTTGTTTTCTTTCGAACACGAGCCTCGTTCTTACTGCACTTCTGAATGCAGAGGCTCTAGGACTTCCATATATGTATTTTGTAAAAACAAATATTAATGTGCATCAGTAAAAGATGTTATGCTGAAGTGTCTCTTTTTTTTTTTTTTTAGTTGCATTGCAAAACCAACTTTTTAACACCGTATTTTTACTTACAGGCATACTGTATGTTGCTTAAACCATACCTGCAAATCCTTCGCCTCTTCATTTCTCCATTTTGACAATGAAATAGCATGATTTTTTTTTTTTTCGTCTTCTTCTTTTATTTTATGTTATCATAGACGTCGGTGTTGTTTATTTATAATGATGCTGCAATGTAAGTTCTATTTTAATTTTCCGGGACACTTTAAACTGTTGATTCCAATACATTTTTTGAAGAAAAATTCCCCATCCATCTCCTTTTTCACCAGCCTGGAGTTTGCAGGTATGATACACAGGGATGTAAACTGTAAACAAATTTTATTGCATTTTATTTCACAATCAAAAGTATGACCCGAAAAAGAAAAAGAAAAAAATATGCATGTCAGATTCTGATAAGAATAATTTGATTTGTTTGAAAAGTTTGTTGGAGTTTTAGCCAGTTTTTATTAAAACTGATATTCCAAATAGGTGAAAATATTTTGCATACAAATCTAAATAAAGACTTCATGTTTTTATAATAAAGTAATAATCACATTAAAATAAATTAATCCCTACCTATCCAGTATCCACCTATTGAAATGCACAAATAAAAATGCAGTGACAACATTTCAATCAGTAAGAGAAGACCGTGTGGTGTCTGGTAATAATAGTGATAAAAAATAACAATAATAAAACATTTGATTTGATATTGTATGGGCTTTGAAAAAAATCCTGTTAAATGTGTTCATTAAGAAAGCACAACCATATACACTCACCGAAAGGATTATTAGGAACAACTGTTCAATTTCTCATTAATGCAATTATCTAGTCAACCAATCGCATGGTAGTTGCTTCAATACGTTTAGGGGTGTGGTCCTGGTCAAGACAATCTCCTGAACTCCAAACTGTATTAGGCCTAAAATCTATTTTTTTTCCATATTAATTTGCGAATATTTTAAATGTTTAATAAAGGCAAAAAGTCAATGTTATTTATTTTTTGTGCACAAACACTTGGATATGCGTCAAAACCTTGTGTTTATTTGTGATAATCTCCGCCCTGTATTTTTATTGTCTAACCTGTATTATGACTGACATTTGACGAATTGCTTTGTTTCTTTTTTTGATAAAAGCGTCTTATATCTAAATATGTAGCCTAAATGTAATGATAATAATAGCCTAATTTTATTATTATTAGACCTATTATTTGCGTTTATAACTTTAAATGAGTTAACTTGACAGGAATATGTTAATCATAAAACAGTGTATGAATTTTTTTTATTTTTTTTTTTTTTATAGGCCTATTACTTTGTGTTTGTGTTATATATATTTTTTTTTATGTGAAGTCCTTTTAAAAACAATGCATCCTGCATCTAAACAGGAGGCCTGGTTGAATCATGCGGCACACTCTGGGGGACGATCCACAAATCCGTGAGTACGGATACGGATTGAGAAAGCGTGGGCACGGTTTATGAATTTGTGGGTACAGACTGCAAAAACTGAGGGCACGGTTTACAAATCTGAGAGCACGGATTAGGAACTCGTAGGCCTACAGTTTATAAACTGATGCGAAACCGTCGCCGGATTGTTAACTTCTTGGGCTCCGCAGGAATCAGAGCTCGTCTCGATGTAATAGAAAAGCTCAACAAGACGTCGTCGGTGAGAGAAAGTCAGTAAACTGAATTATTGTTGGACTCAACTTTCATCGTGTAACGTTACAGAATAATACATTAACGTTATATGCTTTGAGTTAGTTAGTTGGTTAGTTAGTTGGTTAGTTAGTTAGTTAGTTAGTTAGTTAGTTAGTTAGTTAGTTAGTTAGTTAGTTAGTTAGTTAGGGGCGTGCAGAAACTTGTTGATGCTCTACAGTTTAGTGAAGGCAAAAAATAAGACACAAAATATATAGGCTTTGTATTATTACTACAAGTAGCCTTATCTACATTCCTCTCATGGTCGTATTGTGCTGACAGGTCATTCTCTCTTAAAGTTTTTAAATCAAAACAATAACCTTGAATTTCTGCGGCTCTGACGCACTGCTGCTGCCGGACGTCATCGGAATGCATTCTATTCGACACGTCACAGTACTAGACGCTGCAAACCTCTACTGAAACTCGTGACTTGACAGCTGTTGATTAGAGTGCAGTTTTATAATCTGTTAGTGTGCAGTTTTATGATCTACAGCTATTGATTATTGTGCTGTTTTATAGTCTATTAGTGTGCAGTTTTATATCTGTTTGGATCTGTTTTTAAGAACAGTTGAATTGCACATTGCAGCTATGTACGGTTTCAGATCATACAATTTGACCAGTAGGATTCCTGCACAACCTGTGCGTGGTTTAGACATGCCTTCACTGAGACCACAACCACCTTGTAGACTGAGACCACATCCACCGTCTACACTGAGACCACAACCACCGTCTACGCTGCGACCTCAACCACCGTCTACACTGAGACAACAACCACCTTGTAGACTGAGACAACAACCACCGCCTCAACGACGCCCAGAAGGCATTGCGACGACGAGGGTAAGTAAGAAGTCTATCATAGGATTCACTGTGTTTTTTCAACCATCATCGGTCATTATTAACACTAAGCTTGCGTTCATATGTTGAGCATTGTATTAAGGTGTTTTCTTATTCTTATGTATCATCAACAGGAACCCACTCGCCAGAACAAAATTATGATAAATGAAAGGTCCCGGATGTCCAGCCGAGGGCAGTATGTCAAGCTCCCTCCTATCCCCGGCTCTTCCCGAGATGACAGCTCAGACCTCAGCCAGAGCTTTGAGAGAGTCCTCCGCCACCAAGACAACCTCATTAAGGTGACTACATATAACATATATATATATATACTTGACTCTCAGTTTTACTTCTATAACTTTCATTACAGAGCCTTGGACTAACAAATGTGTGTGTTTTACAGAGCATGGTGGATGAGCTGTCTGAGAGGGACCAGCGGCGGTCAGAGCTGGCAAGCAGTTCTCGTCTGCAGGTGGACAGTCTGTTAGAGCGTCATGTGGTTCGGCTGGAAGAACTAGCGTTCGACTTCAACAACAAACTCGAAGAACTTCGCTCAGAGTATTATACTGAGAGGTAACACACACAAACAATCACACAAAAGTAGTGTTTTGTTTTCAAGGGCTGGCCAGTTTACCAGTTCCTGACAATTTAAATCGGATCATTCTTTTTAGGATATACCCTTTAACTTTAGAAAATGCTGAATAGACAATGATGTTTACACTGTTTTCCAAATGGGGACATGAAAATGCACTGCGAAGGATTGAGCCAATGTAGTAACATCTGTGTGTTATTTCTTTTAATTTCCAGGGAGCTGATTCTTTCACAGCAGCTGCAGGAGATTGTGAATTTGGAGAAGGCAATATTTTCCATGGAAAAGCACAACGCTGAGATTGAGGATGAGGCGAGACGTGGCTATAAGAGCAGTCGCGAACAAATTAAAAGAAAGGTACTGGTTTTATTATGTTTATATTTATTCATTTGGCAGATGCTGTTATTCAAAATGACTTAGTAATGAGGAACATCACCAGCAATTTGTCATAGTGCCATATTTATGGGTTTAGTAAAAACTAGAATTAGTCAACAAGCTAGAGCAAAGGAAAAATACAAAAAAAGAAGAAAAAGAGAATAGAGTTCAAGTAAATGTCTTGGTTTAAGTCTTTAATGATCACCAATGGAGTTGAGCTAAGGGAGCACAATGACCAAGTCGGCCAGACAGAGTTTAGAGTTTTGGAAATGTGACTACAGATTGGACAAAAGGATGTTAGCAGTTGGGGAAATAAAACATAATCATAAATCAAAAACATAATCTTAATAATATGTTGTCTGTTTTATTTCTGCAGCACAAAGAGGAATATCAAAATTTGAAAAAACAAACGGACGAGGTTTTGAAAAAAAGGCGAGAAGAGAGAAGAGTGCATTTATGACCAGGAGAAAAAAAAATACGACTCTCTGCTCCTCGATGTTGAGTAGGGAGATAAAGAGATTGAGGCACGGAACGGACTATTTTTTAGCGGAAGCATACAATCGATTTAAATAAATAAACTCTTTTTTAAATAATTATTTTGAGTCAAATTATTGATTTATTTGGTAGGTAGACATGTATTAAGTGGGATAATGTACAGCGAGGCGGTTGTTATAGCGAATACAACCCCTTCAGATTCAGGCTGATTCAAGACCCCTCCGCTTCGCGTTGGCTCATAATCATCTGCCTCGCTATACATTATGCCTAACTTATTCGTTCAGCGTCCTCCAACAAGGACAGGTGGTGGTGGGGTCATAATGTTCACAATTGTATTTTATTAGTTGTTGGTTTAATCATGGATTAATGGGTAATGGCTGTTATGTTATTTTAATTTCAACGACTTTTCTTGTTACATGTTGATTGCTGGATTTATAGAAAAATATCAATCAATATTGCATATCCATAATTATTATAATGGATAAAATTAAAGAATCCTTACACTATAAAGTAAATTCAAAGTGTAACGCAAAAAAAAACCCCGGATGTTTACGCCTATTTTGAATTTGAATACAAATACTTTTTCCCCCTCAACAAATAAATATAATAAATACAGATACAAATACCGGCTGCTTTGCACACCCCTCATAGATAGATAGATAGATAGATAGATAGATGGATGGATGGATGGATGGATGGATACATTAGCTAGAAAGATAGATAGATAGATAGATAGATAGATAGATAGATAGATAGATAGATAGATAGATAGATAGATAGATAGATAGATAGATAGATAGATTAGTAAGAAAGAAAGATAGATAGATCAGATAGAAAAAAAGGTAGATAGATTAGTTGGAAAGAAAGAAAGATAGAAGATTAGTCAGAAAGAAAAAAGGTTAGTTAGAAAGAAAAATATATTTATAGATAGATAGATAGATAGATAGATAGATAGATAGATAGATAGATAGATAGATAGATAGATAGATAGATAGATAGATAGATAGATAGATAGATAGATAGATAGATAGATATAGATTTGGGATTTTTAATATTAATTAAGAAATCTGAAAGTCAAATCAGTCTGAAAACATATAGCACACTATGGCAGCATTTACACTGCGGGTCTTGATGCCCAAATCTGATTTTCTGACTATATCCGATTTTTTTGACGACCTGCTTACATCATCTTTTAAAAGTGACCCATATCTGATTTTTGCATTCACATACACTGCTGAAACTACCAAATGCCAACGTTCTGATGGTTCTGAACCGGGAAATTAAGCAAAACAGCACAAAATTCAATGGATGCAGATGCGAATAAAATTATCCAGTGTTTTCTTTCCACAATATTTTAATAAGTCATCAAAGCATTGGTCTCGTACCGCGGAGAAAAAAAGAGAGGAGGCTCTGGCCATGAGCACTTAAAACGATGCTTTATATCTCGTGAAATGTCTTCAAAAACGGATTTATTTCTGTAACAACCCTGCATTTTTGCCTGCACTCTTCGCCCCAAACACTCAAAAGACATGATTGCTCCACTGTGTGTGTCCTTTCTTCCATCGCGCCTATAATCGCGCAGTTTTTAATGACGCATGACTCTCATTTACTCAGGTGCCACAAGAGTGGCACGGGGTGGCAGTTTTTTTTTATTTTTTATTTTTTATTATTATTATTATTATTATTATTGACAAGAAGTAACATACAAAACTCTCGCAGGGGATAGAATGCACAAAAGTATTAACCAAGCAGAAAACAACAATAGAGAGAGAAAAAAAAAATAAAAAAAAAATAAAATAACAAAGAAGGGGCTACTACAAAACACACAAGTCAAAGGCAAAATAGAAAATCACATTTGGAGCGGCACACACAAGGGAGGTTAATCAAAACAGTAATTTCCTGGATATATCACTATACATTTTCCTTGCAATTTTAGTAGATTTTACATTTTTCAGTGAGGTAACAAACAATTTAAAATCCTTTATAAACCAAACAAAGGAAGGCTTAGAACATCTCCACTTACTGCAATGAATATGATATTTACCCATAAGAATGATCATATTCACTAAATCTGATACTGATGAATCTATATTATCCATATAAAAGAGGATGTGTGGCAAGATGAGAGTAGGGATATTATCAATCTTGAGTGACAGCCAATTATGTAGCTCAGACCAGAAACTATTAGACACGGGGCAAAAAAAAAAACGTGTTCCAGAGTCTCATCAGCCAAGTCACAAAAAGCACAAGGATCTACTTCAAATTTAAATCTTTTTTTAAGAAAGTCAGCGACAGGGTATATCTTATAAATTATTTTAAAGTGAGTCTCTTTGACTTTTGGGGACATGGGCCATTTAATGAATTTAAAATGTGATTTTTTTTAATGGACAATGCACCCATATTCAGAACCTGTACACACAATCCTCTGTTATAATCAAAAAACAATTTCGATTTCAAAGCATCATTAATATATTTATTATTGCATTTACTGTCAACTAGAGCACAATCATTAATAACTAATTTTGGTAAAGTTGGTAAGGGTCTTATATTGGTATATAACAGTGTGCTTTTAATTGACAGTAATAAAGGTACCGGACTACCGGTATTGCTTTACAGATCTTAATGTAGTCTCTATTTGTACAGTTTAAATTATATTTGTCTAAGAAAGACTTATATTCCAAAAAATTACCATTGTCATCTATATATAACATCATTCACAAACACATATCGGGGAATATCCGATTTGTCTGCTTACATGACACACGCAAATGCACACATCTGATTCATATCCGATTTATTACCACATGTGAATGAGGCCTGAATCCGATCTGAGAAAATCGGAACCCATGCGTTTTTTCCTGCTTACACGTTCAACGGTCATATCCGATCTGTGCCACATGAGAGGAAAAAATTGGATTTGGGTCACTTGAACTATACAGTGTAAACGAGGCCTAAGTCAGAACAGTCTGAAAGTCTGACCTGAGTTTGGAGTTTGTAGAGGTAAAACTCTAGGAGTTAGAGTCAGAAAATTTTGGGTAAGAAAAATAATAATAAGAAGAAGAATAACTAGAATGTACATTTCCAGAAGAAAATGTGAAGTGGTGCTTGCAGTGGCAAAACTCACCACCCGGTTGCTAGAGTGTGGTACATTTTTGCATACGAGCCAACAACCATATCTGTACGATATTCAGGTGCTGAGATATGAATAAGCAATATCTCAGCTGAAAAAAACATGTCTTCAGGGGGTTACTAGGGTACTCTATATGGTTGCTATGGTGTGTTTATACAGTGTATGAGATGATATTTAAAGATTAGTTGACAGTCTGAGTCAAAAAAGGCAAAATCCATGTTTCTTCTATTTTCTGGAACTGAGATATGGCTTGAATATGTTGCTTTATGGTTGCTAGGCTGCTCTAAGTGGTTGCTAGGGCATGTCTTCAGGTTCTTGTCAAAAGATATGATCTCACAAATTTTGTGCCAATGTTAAGTCTATGGGACTTTTTTACCCAATGATTTGTCCCTGGGGCGAAATGAGTTTTTATAGAGTTTTTTAGTACTTTCGCCCACGGTTGCTAGGGTGCTGTAACTGGTTGCTATGGTGAGGCTATGAAGATTTTAGGCCATTACTCATTGGCTGCTTGATAAAATAAATCCTCCGGTCGATTTGACACCTCACCCATGGGCAGTGTTGGGAGTAACGCATTACAAAAGTAATACATTACAGTTTTTGCTGTAATGCAGTAGTGTAAGGCATTACTAATCAATTTTCAGTAATATTTTACTCGTTACATGTTCAGTGAGGCTTGTATTACAGTTGTAATACAGTGTATTGTCTGCTTTTACTTCTTAAAAGGCAACAGACTATGTGAAATTTTTAAAGCAGTCTTTTAGTGCCAGTTCAGAGCGGTCGCGTCTGTAACATTGTTTTTTCCTCATAAATGCGAACACGAAAACTAAAATAAAATGAATATTTTAAGTTCTATGGAGACTGGAGAGCCAACCCTTCCTCATCCGATTTGCGCAGTGTAATTAACAGAATTACAAAAAATATATTTTGCCTCCTATTTTTTTGTAACGCATGAATGTGTGTCTTTTCCCTAATATTAAAAATAAAACATAGACTGATATTTGTCTAATGTCTGGTCTGGAGTCCTTTAAGGAAGTAGCCTATATACGTTTCAATGCATGTATTTTCTGAGAATTTTTATTTCAAGTTTTGACTGCAAATGTCATGTCCATAATGCTGGACTTCCCCAATTTTAAATAATTTATCCTCAACTAGTTTTGTGGTGTAGGTCTACATATTTTATAATGTTAACTTCAAATAATACTAATAGCCTAATTTAAAGATAAGGCAGCATTGGATATGGACCTTTTCATTAAGAATTGAACTCACCTGGAGGAGAACACTCAGAGAAAGTCCTTTTTTAATTTACCATTTATAGTATCCTATTTGATAAATACTATTGCTGATAGTTGGGGACCTAGAGTATGAATTAATTACACACTATTCAATATCATAAAATTTTATTAAAATCGACAGCTGGAAAAAAAAAGTCCTTTGGTAGAAGTGGTAGGGGAGCGCGCGGCACAACCTAACGCGGGGTTAAATGTAACACGTAGTTCGTCAGGATCAAGCAGGCTTTACGATATTTTTTTCTTGCTGCCAGAAGACGGTCTCCCGCGAATTTGCGGAAAATTTTGAATATATTTCGTGAAGATACTTGACAAAGAGTGTTTTGACACCATTAAAGTAATTTTTTTCATCATAGATTTTTTTTTCGGTTTCTGAGTTGGGTGTATAAGTTTCCAAATCTAACTTTATATTGCCTTAATCACTGTCTTGTTGGCTCAAACATAGCACCGTTTTGAAACTTTCATTATGATTAATAATAATAATAATTGTACATGCAGCTGCCACTCACAAATCTAATTTAATTGCAATTACAATATTTTATAATTTTATTTATTATTATTTATTGCAAAACTGTACAGCCCTTTTCTATGTCTCTATCCTTGATATTGATCCACAATAGAAGGATGATTGGATGAGGGATGGATGTATGGATTTCTGTCTATACAGATGCACAAACAATATCAAACTATACAAATAAAATTGTACTGAATTAAGTGTGTTACACACAAGTGTTACAACTAACAAACTTTAAGTGGTCATTTGTAGCAGAGATGTGTATGTTGCTTGTGTAAAAAAAAATATTAATCTAACCTAATTATTTTTTTTAATTAACTGAGCCAAAACCAAAATGCGTTAGGTTGTGCCCCGCTCTCCCCTAATCATTTATTTGAAAAGGAACTATTTGCAGTTTTAAAGAGTTAGTTCACCCCAAAATTAAAAGTATGCAATTAATTACTCATCCTCATGTCGTTCCAAACCCATAAAACTTTCGTTCATCTTCAGAACACACGATGAAACACTTTTTAATGAAAACAGAGATTTCTGTTCCTCCATTGACCGTCTATACGCAAATACTACTTTCAAGACCCAGAAAGACAGTAAAGACGTCATCCTGCAGCTGTCTTTCACGACACTTCCCAGGATCCTCTTGTTTCCACACCTGATC